GCATGATGACCTGCTATTGTAATATATTATATTATAATATATAATATTGTGTTATACATAAATTAAAAGTTACAAACAGATCAATTGTAATCAAACATTTCAGATGATGTTAGAGCACYATTTGTTTCGATTTTAACCTACACGAAACTTAGAAAACTTGTTGTACCAATCTTGTGTTTTTAACTTCATTATTAGAGCGAATTTATCTATTATCAAACGTTGTGCAAATGCTATAAAATCTCAACCTTGGTMATATGTGGTATATAATATATACAGGGGATCCATTTAAGTGGGTACATTAATTATCTCGAAAAGTATTAACTTTTTTTGAATTTTTTTTTAGACTTCTAGGTTTACGTTTTCTAAAACCGTATAGGTAATATTTTAATTTTTATCACCCTTATATTTACTGGTGAAACCACTATCAAATTTTGATTTTAAAAAGGGAAACATATAATACGAATATCTTGAATGAATAAAACCATTTTTATAATGAGTTTACGCGCTAACATTTTTATTTTTCTTTGATTGGTTTGCGAGATACAGCTCCTCAAAGTATTGAAGGTTGAAGGAGGTATTACGGTCGGTAAATGTGGCATACCAGRGATTTCCAACCTTTTTATCATCGAGTATCACCAGATATTTTTATAATCAATACGCGTACCACCTCAATTCATATTATAAGCTAAACACTAAACTAAACTAAATAATATTGAATGCAAATAGTAATAAAACAATTTTTTCGCGTACCACCTACGAGCCTTCCGCGTACCACTGTTTGGGAACCTCTGGTCTATACTTTTTCTTCATTTCTAAAGACTAGGAGGTATAACTGATAAATTCGATACCGTTCGACCTAATAATAGATAACAATATCGATAACTGTTGAACTATGTACCTGATTAATTTTATGTCCTACAACATCCTTATGCCAATTTGACCATAATTTAATTAATTGTTATTYATTTTGTTACCTTAGATTCAACGATATCGAATTTATCGCTAGCTCCTGGTCTTTAGAATCATTGGTAAAATAGTTAAAACCGCTAATACTTTGTGCAGTTGTATCTCGCAAACCAAAAAATAAATAAAAATGTTAATACGTAAATTCGTGAAAAAAATGGTTTTATTAATTCGTGATATTTTTATTAGATGTTACCATTTGAAAGTCAAAAGTTTATAGTGGTTTCACAAATAAATATAAGGGTGAAAAAAATTGAAGTATTATACGGTTTTAGAAAAACATAAACCTAGAAGTTTTAAAAACAATAAAAATTCAAAAAAAGTTAATACTCTTCGGGATAATTAGTGTACCCACTTAAATTACCCCGGTATACCGGTACCTATGAAAATTGGCAACAACGCTAAAAATTCGTACGCAATCGCGTAGTTAAAAAACAGGTAAAATCGTACGACTTAAAAATAAATCGCCAATAACGAAACGAACGTACKCAATCGTGTTTTACCCCGCGGCATTATAATTTCATCTGCTTGAAGTCAAGTCGAAACCGCTACTCTACAGCATAGTTCTATAATCGATACAACTTCAGTTTAAATGCATTATTCATATTTCAAAGGTATGCTTAACGCTTCTAAACATAACAGCAATTCGTCTCGTTTATATACATATACGTGCCACTTACACCAAAAAACTACGACAAGACTAGCTGCTTAGCGTTTTTTAACCTGATGCCTTTATTATATCTCTGTCAATCTCATTCCGCCTCGTCGTCGTCGTCGTCGTCCTCTTCCTCCATCATGGCACACTGTTTTGTAATAATAATAATAATAATATTATATCATTATCCACTTTTCATTTAATTTATTATTTTGCCCGTGTATCCCATTACGCTACGGATTCAAATTTCAGTCGTCCACACTATTATTGTTGAACATTTAAGGAGATCTCAGTCACACTATGTATTTCTACCTAAATATGTAATTATATCGTGTAGAAATAAATGCGTATATTTGTAGGTATACAGGAATAACTTACTGTAATCTTCATCAACTAGTTTAAATTCCAGTGATAATATATGTACAACTGTTACGCCCACGTGCAATGGAAACGGCTAATGAGATGTATCATGACGTTTTCATTTTTATTAGATAATATTATGTACTATAATATGATTTTGATTATTTGTTTTTTTTTCCAGAAGGAGAAAATCTTCTCAGAGACTTGGAGATGTTGAGAGACCGCGCCGAGTACTTCGCTAGGCAAAATCGTCATATTAATTCGTTGGACGGAGTAGGTTTCGGGCAAAGCAAACGATTCGACACCCTCAGGTAATGTATTCATTTATTTTTATTTTTATTATCCCCCGGCAACTAAGGTCATTGGGAAGGGGGTAATAGTACTGTAGGTTGGTTTTAAACGTGGGCGAGAGTTTTGGCATTGGGGCACCCGTAGGTCTCTGCCATGCCCCGGATGATTGGGGGATGGCGACACTTGTTCTGCGGACACCGTGACTTGCCCGGAGAAAAATGCCGCCCGATGGTCGAGGATCGAACCCTGTCCGGCTGAGCCACAGCCGACGCGGTAGACCACTCGGTCAGCTTGTCCCCATAATGTATTTTATAATTAATAAAATTATAAATACTTGATGAGTCCCGAATTTCCTACCAAATATATATAGGTTAGGTATCTAAGTGACTTTTTTCACCCGAATKGCCTCCCTTAGCATCTACCTACAAATAGTTTTGTAATGAATAAACAATATTATTGTTTATAACCCTTGCAGCAAACCTTGCAACATTATTAACCGCAATGATATCTGAAATTTAAATAACAATAATATCATTACTTTTTCTTATCGAAAACATACGTCATTGCACCTGTTCTGCAACATGTCGTCCTGTTAGACTAATGTAAATATACCTTGAATTTTTCGAAATATTTTTTTTCTCTTAAAATTACATTTTATATGTACAATATCTGAATCGTATGTTATAATATTATTATCTTACAATAATTTCTGATYATTATAATTAACCGATGTCGTTTGTAGCCAATTTGGTAGTGCTGTGCATTGTGTCGTTTTTTTTTACAGACAATAATATCCCTCAGCGCGTTTTGTTGCAAAAACAGCACTGCAACAATATGTTCTAAACTGCTAAGTGTTTCCTTCGAACGTTTCGCATTTTTTTTCGCGTGCAACCTGCAGTGCTTATGTCGAACGGTTTTCGACTGCAATATAGCTATACCCATATGAGGATTTTATTGGCATCAGACGGCAATGATTGTTTTTCTTATATGTGTATACGCTCTGATGGCGTATATAGTGCGCGTTTGTACACTAATTGTTAAGTCTCAAACATAATTAAACGTAAATTGACGTGATTCGCAGTCGTGCCTCAGAGGTTTGTGGGATTTAAAGGGAAGGAATGTATGGGTAAAATCCAATATTATGTCGAACGTTGTTTTCAGTGGCGTATCCTTCGGCGGCCAAAAAAGAAACTTTGACGAAATCGACCGCAGTGGATTCGACCGGTTTATCAAGAAGAACTTCGACGAGATTGACCGCAGTGTTTTTGACCGGTTCGTCAAGAAGAACTTTGACGAGATCGATCGCAGCGCTTTCAGTAGCTTCGTGAAACGTCCCAACAAGGCGCCGGCGGCCAATTTGGAATAGATGATGCCATACTGCGCACGCGCACGTCCACACGCAAACCCAAACACACGAACATACGAACATACGTCATAATAATAACAATAACGGTATTATAATATTATACTCACTCAAACTCTTATCAATCTCCACATCGCCGACATATATAGTTATATAGTGTAGGAATAAAAGGTAAACCTATATTGTTGTATACCATTAACTAGGTTATGGGTATCACTGCATAGAATTATTACTTTAATATAAAAATAATAATGATAATAATATGACAATATAGCCAATCATCATATTAATGTGTCATGATTATACATAATATGTATATGACAACTTTGATAATCTTAGTCCACATTCACCTCATCTGTTTTATATCGTTGTTTGGACAAATGCGCGCGTGCCATTTTACAGGTATATAGCCCACCTTGTATACCTTAAACCTATAATTAATATGTACTGTAGAAAAGGAATTGAATCCGTTAGTTAACATTTTAAAGAGTAAATTTCATTATAATTTTTGACGTGGTTGTGTATTAGTCGTCGAAGTAAAATAAAACAAATATTATAATCAAAATGTAACTTTCACTATAGACAATATTAAATAYATATATWTTTTTTTCCCCCATAGATCTGATTGTGAATCTCATAAACTATATAGTCATTATTATACATTTACATAATATAATACATAAACTGCATATAGATGCATAATAATATGTATGTTACCGTTAATATTTATGATTACGTTACTTTATAATAATATAATTCTACTATAATATTATGTATACTTTGAATCTCTGAAAATGTATTAAATTTTATTAGTTCATAAAACATTACAAATGTGCTATCGATTAATTTATTCAATATTTACCTTTTTTTTTTTTTACACATTATGTGATCATAATGATATAATCGATATCGGTACAATAAAATAAATGTACGGTATACACGGGTATACTCGTATCAGCGAATTGTTCAAAGACTATCTCTTGAACAGACACAACACTTTTGCTTTTTCAGCGCAATTGCTGTGCTGACATTTTGAAGTTCTTGAACATATAATATACGCACGTAAGTATGTATTTATAATATTGTAAWATGCATAGACTTGAACGAAATGCCTACACGACTTTATCGACATGGAAAACGCCTTCAATGAATCGACCAGAAAAATGAAAACATTTCAGGGCACCAATAACATACAATATGGTTATGMATTTCAAACACAGGTAATAGTATAATAGTATAGGTAATAATTATAAAAAAATCTCTCAACGTTTATGATCAAAATTAAAATTCATGATATACTTTGAACTTACTACAATAATTGAGTTTTTTGTACTAAATATTAACTACAATATTTGTTTTATATAAAATTTCTACTTATATATGCAACGTGTCGTTTAAAAAAAATTATAATCCGTTTTAGGTATAGACAATTCAATTAAATAGAAAAATGTAATCTCAATATTGAAAACGTTACAAATTTCTCATTAATTCGTCCCTTATATCATTCTATTTTTAAACGTAATAGTATAACACATTGTTAGTTTAATATTATAATAAATAGAAGCGTTTTATGAAGAAGAAGAAGATATGTGCTCACATCAATAGAATTTTAGCTGTCAATTTGKAGACAGAATATTTGAGTGATGATGATTAATTGACGAACTTTTAGTGCATATTTTTATAGTGACAAGAAAAAATATTTTATTTATCGAACATTTGTACTACCTGATCAATAATAATTAATGTTTTACAAAAGAGTAGGGTTCCTTTCATATTTGAAATATAACTTAATACCAAATGTAGATGATTATTGTTCTTTGAATGTTGTACGTTGCTGAGAAAAGTTTTGAAAATTTCAACTGTAAAAGTTTAAAAACTGGCGTAAAAAAGTAATAAAATAAATGTATCACCGTGATGGTTTTRGACACAATTACATAAGAAACGGTTAATTGACTTGAAGGTGAACAGACAACGGCAGATACAATGCTTGTGTAATATTATAAGCTCATTTCATTCGAAAAGATTAAAAATGTGTCTACCTAATAAACCCAAAACATTTATCTTTTCTAAGTTATGTTAGAATTATATTAATATATAAATATACTCGTATAAATTATATCCTCCAATAATTGTATTTCACATATTTATTTTTCTATGTCGAAAACGATATTTCAACTTTAAAGTTAATTTTTAAAATTAACTATAAACAGTATACTCGTWTAAACACATCATAATATTTACAATGTTCCTAATAATGATTCGAAATTTTTTGGATCACTAAATGAACTCAGAAGTCAGAATACTGTTTTTTTTAACACAATTAAAATATAATTAGATTTAATTTCAAAGTCTGTTAAAAGTGTATAATTTATACRTTATATATATTAAACATTTCTGGTAAATTTCCGTTTGATAGGTCCATTAAATATGAAAGGAACAGTTAATTTTCTATTGTGTTATCACAAATTTTACCTTTGATTGCCTTAATGTGATTTTATACGAACCTAACTATAACCCTAATTTTAATGGTTTCATAAAAAAAWAATACGATTATTTTAAATCGATATTACTTCAGAAGTAACCGTTGTAGGAAATGCCAAATGTATGATTATGACGTCATCGTTATTATAATACACGTATTGCAGTACATCATCGACGAACAATTTTAATATTAAAAAAATGGTTCAGTTGACTTAATGTATTATACCTAACTATTACTTGTATTGACGATATTATGAGAATTTAAAATAATATTATTAACTGTGATGTATTATTTGTTGGACCCGCAGAAGGAACTCGAAGTTTTCATAGATCTATGCATCTTGGCATACGTAAATGGAGGGGTTTCTCTCTAACAGGTCGATGTCTTTCTCCAAGTCGTTCAATTGCTTTTCCAACATGGTTTTCCTTTTCATTTTTGGTACCGTGTCGGTGAGCATTGGCAACAGTAAGAATTCCTTGTGAAGTTCAGCCCAGTTTGACTTCAGTCCCTGAGCGGAAAAAAACATTTTATATAAAAATCAGCGAAGACGGTGTGGACTTCGTTGTACAGACTACAGACACGCGTAATGGGAAGGCGAGAAACATAGATATAGAGAATAATATAGAAAAATAAGTATTTAAAACAAATCGGTCGGCTCCTTACGTTTAACATTTCGTTACGTTCGCTTTCGGGCAAATAGCGGAATGGAGGTTTTACAGCTCGTTTTCGTTCGGTCTCCATCAATTGGGCCATTTCTTTTTCCTTGTACATTTTCACGATGTATGCCGGTGTTTTTCCATAATTCTTAAAACGAACAATAATTATTAACAAATATAATAATACATTTTATTTTTTTTATTTGCAAATATGGGTACACAATACACATATAATACAATAAGAAAATATGCAACACTCCTTGTAAGCAATAAATGTTGTATTTGGAGAGTAAAGTTCAGTTCATAAGTTAGGTGTACACATATCATTATGTTAAAAGCATCATGTGAAAAAGAATATAATAGAAATAAAATGATTAATAAATAAAAATGAAAATAATTTAAACCAATATAAATATTTGTTCAAACATTGTCAAGGTCTAGATTATACAAAAAAAAAAAAAAAATGTAATTTCTTAACATTTTTGAAGTTAAATAAATTAATATTCAATTTTAGATTCTGAGGCGAGGAAAGTMGTATTGATTTTACAATGATATTTATTTATTTTTATTTTTTATTCTGTAAACACTTTTTTTCCCTCTAAACTGGCTCAAAAGTATAAGTGTAGCATCTTTTTTGAAAGGTAATGTTCTTGAGCTGGTACTTTAAAGAGGTCATTTTTCGATTTTAGAAACGGCAATCGAAATAAAAGCGGTTAAAAGAGAAAACGTACGATTTCACGAGTTTATAATATTAAATAATTACTGACGACGTTTTCTACCAGAAATATTGCTTCAAATGAAAAATGACAAGAGATCTTTTTTGTTCTATTTTGGAATTTGGATTTCAGCCATTTTTGAGCTATTTATAGACATTTTAACTATGGGAGTTTTTTTTTGTAATTTGGATAAAAACATTCGTAACAACTTGAAATTTGGGTTGTTTACTTATATCAGCTTTACAAGCTATGGTAACATTTTCAAAACAAATTTTCACTGAATGTTTATATAGGCATTTTCTATATTTTATAAAATTTTCAAAATATTTTGATTAGTTTTGAGCTGTTTATTGACATTTTAATTTTTTAACTTTTTAAGTTTATTTTTCTATTAATGTCAATAAAATTTTATTGGTTGGGTAAAAAAAACTTTAAAATTTAATATAAGGCTTCCAACATATTGTCACAATAGTAGTTGAAAAATATTAAAAACACATAGGCACGATTTTTTTTTTGTAAGCATTTAAAGTTCAAATTTTGACTAGATACGTACAAATTACGGCAGTGTTCAAATTATCTTAGATAGAATTTCATAAAAATTTTTCTTTTTATATCTAATATTTAAAAGTTTAATTCGAGATTCCTTAAAGTTTGTCAACTTTTATCAAAAAAAAAAAAATGTCCTCTCCGGAAAGTCAGATATTTTAATAAGTTATAAGTGATAATAAACTGTAATATATCCTAGACAGATAAAACTTTTCCGCTCAGAATCGTTTTTCGTATACAATGATAATATAATATCATTGGATTCAAATTTAATTCCATCCATTAAAGTAACCCATTTGTAACCTACTGTACAACAGAGCGACATCCACGACGTACCAGCTTTTTTTTAAACATAAATTTGATTCTATGATTAATGTACCTACCTACTCTACGGACCAAAAGTTGTGTGACTACTTGAAACAATATTTATTTTGCATTATATCTGGTATTTTGGTTTATAATATTATAGTTCAGTGATTCACATTGGTCAATAGATGCTTATGTTTGTATAATAGTAACAATATATTAGTATAAAAAATATTTTATCAAATCATTGAACTTGAAGATCATTAAAAATAAGCCTTGTGCGAAAGGACTTAGATCTACTCATTAAAAATGTAATATTATTAATTATTTTTACTTTGAGTTTTTCAAGGTGCGTATTGTAAGTAAAACCTCAAAATATTATTCCATAACTAAAAATGCATTACACCAAAGCAATGTACATTTCGAGAATTTTCATTTTTATAATAAAGTATTTATATAAAATATTATGATAATGATTCACTACAACGATGGCGACGGTGAGAATAAAATTAGTACAATGTATATTTTTTCATAGAATATATCTGCGACTCTTTCAATGAATAACAAAATAATGAACAAYAATGTTATTATCAATGTTATGATCATATCATTTGTTCCTTTGTTTATTTTAGAATAAGAGAACATACTTCTAAAAAAAAATTCTTTAGAAAAAAATAAATTACTGTTCACCCTCGATTCTATTAGAATAGAGACTGTTTTAGGTAATAATTTTCTGTTTCTGTTCGATTCGTATTAATTAGAAAATATTACGTCTAAACATAAAATATTTAATACAACAAACCCGACACACAAAATCCTCTTGCTATACTTTTGAAGTTACAAATTCAAATAGTTAGTTAAGTAAATTAYTGAGTTAAAGAAGACAAAACGATGGATTTTGATTTTTGAAAAAAGTTCCTTGTAAATACTAACCTACCTATTTTAATATGAATATATTGTACTTTAAATTATAACCAAAAAATGTGGTATTACTTCTTAAGTAAAGCTCAGAAAACTTTTATTAGTAGCTATAGAGTTAGGMTAAAGCTCCTATATTTGTGTTGTATACACAAACTTAAAAGGTTCGATGAATAAAAAAAAAATATATAAAAATTAGAATTAACAGAAAGGGAATAATGAATAGCTTTATATTTGTGAAGCCCTCCTCCAAGCCCCCCCCCCCTCAAAGCTCTTTCGACGTATTACTTGTTTCGGTGAAATATATTTTATTATCCTAAAACCATATATACAAAAATATAAAAATATAATAATTATACGACACACCTTTTTGGACACGTACGTTGGCTCCAGTCCGGCTTCGTTCAGAACAATTACGTGTCCATTCCTCGTGTCTTGGACTCGATGCTTTGGCAATGGTGGCACCCTCTTTATAACGTCAATGATGTTAGTTTGCCTAATGTTTTTCCGCGTTTTCGTTGGAAGTTTTTTGGAGACATTTGTCGCTGAGCCTTCGCACGGYCGCTGAATCGATTTTCTAGCACAGCATCTGGTTTTATTAATTTCTGGAAAACCACGTAGTCAAATRTGATTGAAAACATGTCTAACTAAAGTACGATATCATAAAATATCGGTGTTTAAATATTTTTTGCATTTTATCCATATTTAATCGTCATATTATTATTTTTATTTTTTTTTTGACACATTATTTTAGTAACATGCTCAAAACATAAGTTTGAATTAATTTTTATTAAACTTATTAATTCCTATTAAAAGTTGTCATAAAAATAATAATTTTTAGGAGTTTATAAAACCTYACCGACGATGACTGGTCTCGTCTCTTTTCTGGTGTGTTTTTTTAGAAACTGAGACGGCGGGTCGAGCTCGACTTCGGCATAGCCCATAGTCCTATGGCAGTTATTGTTCGACTTGTACGTTCTCCTCACAGATTCGGTGTAAATCGAACGGTACATCGGGGGTTTGACGACTGGTGTTTTCGGTCTCGGGATCAAGTGTTTGATATTCTCCTGGAATTTACTCATCGTTTAACGCGACACAAAATCTACATTCACGATAGCTTTAATGCATTATTTAAAATATGTAACAAGTATCTATCGAGCCGCGTTTGGTGTTATACCAAAATATTTGTTGGATCRATGCGATGYCAAACGGAAGTGTACGTTTTAGCTATAGCAACGGTGCAGTATTATTATAGGTACCTTACTATTTGATGTGAAATCAAATATTCTGCAATCGAACACGGATAGAGTAATATTATATTATATTCTAACGAATTTTATTATTATTATATTTCCTTTAGGTAGGTACTCGATATAAGAAATTGGTAGGTACACAGAATATTTATATATTATATTGGTAAATATTGGCATTGAGTCAACGTAAAAAATTAATAAATTATACATTTTAAATACGTACTTACTATATTTACAYACAAATCCGTGTACTTTATAGTGTATAATAATATTATTTAATATTTATTATTTTTGACTTTTATGATGACATATTTTCTCCGAAAAATAAACACCCACACATAATATTAGTAAACGATATTTCGCTYACATCTATGTAACAAATTATAATAGTTAAATAATTTAAATACTAAAAACTAAGTTGGAGAAATAKAAAACAGCGATTTGACAAAGTTATTTTGTGAATAAATGAAACACATTAATATAAACGTACGACTTAAATTTTGAAAAATAGTTATATATATTCCATTTTCTACACAATATAATGCTCATTCCTTAATTTATTTGAGAAAATACACGGAAAAAATATCACTTAGAACTTTAAATACACAAAATATTATCGAAAAAGGAACATTTTTATAAAATTTTTTATTTTGTTATATAATATTATTAATAACAATTAATATAATCTATAATGATTATTATTAATACTTACCAGATCAAAAATTGGGTTATTAATGTTATTATTTGCCTATTAAAATAATGATTCAGTCATTTCAATTAGAAATATTTTTTTTTCCAAAAAAGATATAATATCAAAAAAAATTTAGAGAACCCTCTGCTGTAAAATAGATTTTGATTGTAATTCGTCATCATATTTACAAATATATTTCTAATGACAGCGTTTGATAAATTAATATTACAATATTACTGTATGTTCGTATAATAACTAATTCAACTAATTTTTACACACAAAAACAAAACATCACATAATTTTATGTTATGAAATTAAATGAATTGTTTTTATTCATTTATAGTCAATATTTTAATATCTACCGACTTACTATAGAATAGTGAGAATAAGTTCACGCTTTCATGGTATAATGGTATAAACACATTACAATTATGAGTCTGAATAGGTTTTCGATGATTTAATTGTGATGTGTACCTACAAATTAATAATAATCGTAACGGCGGAAAAAGTTTCAAGTTTTTATAATTAATATTTTTTGAACTACAATAAAATAACTAAAATAATTATTTTTTGTTTAAGTATTCAATTTTATCAAAACAATATTTCAAATGATAAAAAAATACTATTACTTCCTAATAGGAATTTGATCATTTTTTAAAGGTTGTAAGTATATAATTTTATATCACATTTTTTTTTTCATCAAGAAACAAACATTTTACTAAAATATAAAATCTCAAAAGTCTTTATCTGTTGAGAAAATATATTCTAGTTTCAATAAGCTGAAATTTCAAAAAAACAAAAAAAAAATGTTACATGGATCCGCCTACTATTTAACGTGTCAATCAGTTTAATCGGAACCTGTAATGGATTATTTTTGAAATCAGATTGAAATTTGCAAAAATCATGCGTAATAAACGTTTTATCTTATATGATGACACACAATAAATAAGCTAAACGATTCGCTAGTTTAAAAAGAATACCTATGTACGGTGGGTTATAACATTATATTATGTGGCATAACAAAAACGCAAGTAAAAGGCAAAATTTCAAATAATGTAACTTTTTTWAATTTATATAATAATATTTGGTGTGCCGCAGCCGTTAAGTAAATAATTTCTTACAATATTGACAKTATTCGTATTTTATACATATGAGAAGATAATTGTCAGGGTATAGACAATTTTACAAAAACAATTTCAAATTGAATTATTTTCAATTGTAAGATCGTACTCGCAATATTGCACTTGTGGWACAAAATTTTAACGGTTACAACTGTTGTCGTTTTACCAATTCATAGTAACATCCTTTTAGTTCTTGTAACTTTTCGTGAGAACCGAGTTCGGTTATCTGTCCACGGCAAACAACGGCAATATCATCTGCCGATTGGATGGTCGACAAACGGTGAGCAATTGTAATACATGTTCTACCTTTTCTAGCTTCGTCTAAAGCCTCTTGAACGATCTAAAAATCAAATCACAATAAAACGCTATAATTACTGTGCTCAAACACTGTTTCAAAATGTAATTTATTATTGTTTAAAAATGTGTATCTCAACTTATTTAAATAATTACATAATATGCTTAAAACTTAAAACGGAATTGAGCATTTGAGTTTGATAATATATAGAATCACTGAATAATATAACAATGTACTCATATTTGTCACATACTATCGTTCTTAATAATTTTAAACTATCTAATCTTMATATTTCTCAATCATTTAGCAAGAATTAAGCTTACTTTGTGAAATAACTTGTTTTCCAATGTCCTATATGTCATCACCCACCGCCAATATTTTTATTAATAAAAAAAATAAAATATCTATTGATGATGATGATGAAGATAGAATAAAATAATAATATTTATTTTAATAATACAAATTTATTATATTAATACTTATGCACTTCATTTATACATGTTTGAAGTGGTTATACACTRTCTGTAGTCATGCTCATGGCCTGACCAAAAATTATATAATTTTGTATTATTATTATAAAACGTATATGATGTCATTGTAACAATGCACGCGTTTCTTTTTAATAAACTGCTTAAGTATCTTTGTGTTTCTGATTAATTAATAAACATTTCAGTAGGTGTCCACAGGACTTCAATACAAAACAATATAGTTAATTTCAAGTTAAACTTTATTATGAAAAACATTTTATTGTAAGTTGGTGGGGTCGCAAAGKACTCAATATGTAAATTATAAGTTATGGTTCACTTAACTTTTAAGATGTATTATTTAAAAGCATCTATAGTTAAACAGAGGTGATAGGTATTATTTTACATATTTTGTTTAATTATAATTTACAACTGATGAAACAGTGTTCGTATAAAAAAAATTACTTTTTCGCTTTCTGTGTCCAATGCCGAAGTAGCTTCATCCAACAAAAGTATTTTAGGATTTCTTATCAATGCTCTGGCTATAGCGATCCTTTGTTTTTGACCACCAGATAGCTGTGTACCTCTGTCACCAGCTATCGTGTCATAACCCTACAAATTTAATTTTACTCCAATTTCAAAAACATAAACTTCAGAAAAAGTGCTTTACATACCTGTGGCAAACTCATTATAAAGTTGTGCGCGTTTGCTTTTTTCGCAGCTTCAACTATCGCATCGAATGGCACATCATTACAAGATACACCATAACTGATATTTTCTCTGATGGAACAGTCGAACAAAACAGGTTCCTGAGTAACTAGACCAATGTTATTTCGCAAATGTCTGATGTTTATTTTTCGGATATCATGACCATCTATTTCCTAAAAGTAAAAATTATTTTTAAACAGTTGTTTAATTTATAACTTGACGGGCAATAGTGAAACTCACGATCACACCAGAAGAAGGATTATAGAACCTTTCGAGAAGTGAAATAACCGTACTTTTCCCACAACCCGATTCACCGACTAATGCCAATGTTTTTCCCGGTTCTACGGTGAAGTCCATCTTGTTYAGAATTTTTTTCGTCTTTCTAGTCGGATACGAAAAATTAACGCCTTTAAATGATATTTTACCAATTATTTCCTGAAAAACGATCATGCATAAATAAGCACACCTAATAGAAGGTTTTATTAAAAATAAAAAAATAAAAATAATAATCCGAATTGTGTACCGGTTTGTCCCCATCGTTCGATTGGCTATCGATTTCCGTTGGKTTTTCAATTAACTGGAATATAAGCAAGGCGGATTGTTTCGCTTTAGCATAATCTTGTAGGAAAGCCATTGTATGACCAACCGAATGAGCGGAGAATGACAGCGCAAAGAAAACCCTACAAATAATATTTTAATTAATTTATTGTGTGTTGTCCATAATATTTTTATCAAACTAACCTATATACGGCGGACGGAGTCATTTCCCCCTGAAGTACCAAATACGATCCATACTTAAAAGCGACCGAATACAGTATGTATGTGATCGACTGCGACAGGGCAAATAAGCCCGCATATATGTATGCTTGTTTTTTTGCTTCTCTAATAAATAATAAAATAAAATATATAATCAAAAAAGGTTGTGGTTTAATGTTACTTGTTTGGGACTTTTAAGCTTTTATGATACAGCTCGACAAACTTTTTCTCTTTTCCTAACGATTGCACCGTACGCACGTTCTGTACACTTTCAGTCGCAATCTAAAATTAAAATTTTTTTACTTTAGTTAGAAAATGAGAATGATATAATGATATATTGTATACACGTATAATATTTAATATACTCTGCCCGCTTCGTCCATAAATTTCGCATCTCTCCGTTGGTTTTTTCTGAGACCCATTTGCTGTTGGTATCCAGCACCTATTATCAATGGGACAGCGAGGCTAAGYACTATAGCTAGTTTCCATCCATAGAAAAGCGCTATACTTATAGCTATAGTTAGCGTTACAATTGACGATATCACTTGTCCGGCACGCATTCCACCAGCCTATAAACGAAAAACAATAATTAGAAATTATACAATAATAATTTAAAAACTATCAGATTTAAATAAATTTCAGCAGACCGCTTTTACTATAGGCGCATCCCTCGCTAATTTCGTGGTCAAACACCCTGGACTCGAGTCTTTATTGTCGAACCAACCGACCGATTGCCTGAGTATATTGGTGAATGCCAAGGCTCGGAGGCGCATCATTAGTTTCTCCGAAGCGAAAGTTAGTAGCCACGTCTGTAAACACGGCTTACAATTTATTATTTATCCAGAAAATTTTGATTTGAGATATTGTAATGATTTGGAGTACATACTTGACATATTATGGTCAAACCCGCGACTATTCCAAGTACAAAAAACATAAAAGACCAAAACCGCGCTTCTCTTTTCAACGCTTCACCTTTCAGTGTTAAAGACTAAAATCAAATGACAAAATCAACACAAAACCAAATCGCAAATGATTTTAAATACATTTTTGAAACAATTATATTTTTAGTTTTGGTTGATCTCTCACCTCAAACACTTGGCCATAAAAATATGCGTAAACTGGAATTAAGCCACCGTTGATCATACAACCGAYACAACCGAACAATAAATATGCCCATTCCGGTGAGTTAAATTTCATTAATTTCCACATACAGCATTTTGAATTATTTTTCTATGAAAAAAATGGATCAATTTATTCAATTAACATTTAAAATTAGTTTTAGTGTATTTAATTAACACACTCGCATGAATATGGTGCAGCAAAATAAATCCCGACATCACAAAAAGCAAATAGTAATGAATTGAATCTAATGTATTACCATATTATTATTATTATTATTATGAACATTTATGATGCTCATTTTTCTAATTTTGTTAAGCATCTGCAGCTCTTCAGGAATATCAGTCTTTAAATAATTGAAAATAATATTTTTTGATTATTATTATGAATGATTGATATTAGTATATTATTGTTATGAAATGTATCAAACAGATTAAAATATATTAATAAATAAGCATTAGTTTTAATTAAGATATTATTACAATATTTTTTGAATCATCCTCTTCACATATTGAACAATCTTCAAATATTTCTTCATGATGTTCATAATCTTCAGTCTTATATTCCTGTCTTTAAGATTTGTTTCAATGTAAACATTAGTTAATTAATATACGCTTTGCATTTAATTTAACCAGGCACTCACCCCGAAACTATTTCTCCCTTATCTTCCTCACATAAATTGATTTGAGCTACAACTAAATTATAGTACAAACCTTTTTTATTCATTAATTCAGTATGAGTCCCGGATTCGTAAATTTTACCATTCTAAATATGAACAAACGAATGAATAAAAACAATATCTACAATTGTTTGAATATATTAGATTAAATAAACTAAATAACATAATTACCAACCTTCATTGCATGTATGACATCTGCATTCTTAACTGTTGAGAGTCTATGAGCTACAATAATAGTCGTTCTGCCTTCCATTACTCGATCCAATGCGTCTTGAACAATTCCTTCGCTCTGAGAGTCCAACGCTGATGTTGCTTCATCCAACAAAAGTATTTTTGGGTTTCTAACTAATGCCCTTGCTATAGAAATCCGTTGCTTTTGACCACCAGATAGTTGACAACCTCTATCGCCGACATACGTGTTAAAGCCCTAAACAATATGAATAATGTGTTTTGTGTTATTATTCTGCAAATAACATAAAATATGATATAACGGCTTATTACGTTTGGCAATTCTTTTATAAAATCATAGGCGTTAGCTTGAATAGCTGCTTCTATGAGTTCATCATTCGTGATATCTTCTCGGCCGTATCGAATATTATCAGCAATTGATACTCCAAAAAGGATAGGTTCTTGAGATACAACCCCGATTTGTTCTCGTAGCCAATGAACATTAAGGTCGGTTAATTTTATAGAATCTAAATAAATCTAGAAATGGTAAAATATTAATATGAAATGAAGATAAATCAAGTTGATAGGTAAAATAATTTACTTGTCCGGCTTCTGGGTCATAGAATCGTAAAAGTAGACCTACAATAGTACTTTTACCAGCACCGCTTGAACCCACTAATGCAACTGTCTGACCGGGTTTGATTGTAAAATTTAAATTATTTAGTACCTGAGACACAATATGTTTAGTATGATAAAATATAGATGAAATGCATATTATTTTTATTCGTTCACACGCATTAAACTCACTTTAACTTCTGGTCTCGACGGGTATCTGAAATTCACGTTTCGAATTTCAATTTTCCCGGTAACCTTTATGGGTTTTAGTCCGTTTTTCGAATACGAATCGATTTTTGGAACTCTGTCGATAATACCGTACAAATTTTTCGCCACCCCGATTGCTGTGCTAACTGAGTTTAAATACGGTATAGCACTTCCAATGGAAAATGATCCTGCCATAACGCTAAAGAAAACCTATTTACCATCATATCATGTAATTATAAGATAGTGCGAGATAATTTCGTAAATCAACCAAAAATAGTTACGGTAAAAACTGTGCCGGGTGTAGCTTCACCAATTGAAACCAAATTAGCTCCATAGTAAAACGCAACCCCATAACCTATGTACATCATCATAAACACGGTACCAAGTCCTATGGAGAAAATTCTATACCTGTTTGTCGCAATATTACGTCCTTTCTTTAACGCGGCAGTATACCTTTGAATAAACGTAATAAAAAATATATAATTAGTTTAATTTTAGTAATTACAATAAGCGTGTAGGTATACATAGACATAGACAGTTATTATTGTACAGAGAAAATTGGGTACAAAACTAACATAGTCAACAGATAAATTTATGGGTAAGATTCAGAACTTGGTTATGTCCATATATAAGGTCTTGTGTGAGAATTCATATAATTGAAATTGATTTTTGGAAGAATGAGAAAGGGCTCTAAAAGGTATAGTAGCGAGGAACCAATTATATAGGAAACCCAAATCTGCTGTTTATTTTACGGGATATTATTAGAACATGTCTTATGCTCTTATGTTGGAGTAATAATGGCTGATAGAAATGCATGATAAAACTATTGCATATAAAAAAGGTAGCTACAATTATACWATCATTAGGTAATTATCAAATGGTGCTGAAAAAAAAAGTATTGCCACCACAATTAAATGTTAATAATTTATGTTGTTAAAGACTATACAACAAATATGCACCTAACTAACTTGTTAACCTAAGGATAGTCTGTAGTGTGTGCTCCTTTGTTGCACCAAAAATAATGACCAAGAAAAGTTGTTAACATTAGGTAGGTACTAAATTGATTCGGAAAATTAACTGTATGCCTGTAAATAATGTAAATCTTGATGCAAAATTTCCTAAAATTAATTATGTAAAATATGTATTAGGAATATTAAAAAACCAAAAACATATTATTAACACTTCCAATATCCAATAGACGCTTAAAACTATAAATTTATTATCATTCAGTTTTCGGGAATTAAGTATTATAATACCAACTTGTTATATAAACCATTATTGTATCAACTCGATAGAGATAGAAATTATAATACTGTATTATATTCTATAATGCGTAATACGTGAAATGTTTACTCACCGTGAGATTCCTTGTTTTTCTAATCCAAACGCTGCAACAGTTCTTATAGATGTAAACACTTCTTCGGCAATTGATCCGGCCTCTGCATATTTTGTTTGTTCTCGGTGACAAGCTCTGGATGCATGCTGAAAACATAATTAATTTCAGTCCATTATATGTATATTGTATGTGTATATTATGGTGCATATTCAAATAATCTCACCAAACTCAGAAAACCCATGATTCCTATAATTATAGGTCCAACGAGAAGTAAGAGTCCTGTTAGTTTAGGACTAATGTAGAAACCAACCAGCAGCCCAGAAATGAATGTAGATACATACTGTGTGAGCATGCTGAACTTGCTACTGATCCCTTCTCGAATTCGTTCTAGATCGCTGTAAAAAATTGAAAATAAAATGAAACTTTATTTTTAATTAAATTAGTMTTTGGTATAGGTACTTTATATTATATTGCATATAAAGTAAAATAAAGTAACAGTGGATAAAAAATGTGCATCTTACTCGAACAGTTTCGACGTAAGATCGCTGCTCTGGTTAGTATCAAACCAAGATATGTCTTGTCTTATAATCTGCGAGAAAAACACATTACGAAGTCGGTACACTTGTCTTTCACATGCCATCTCCCAGCACCAAGTCTATAAAATGTATACATAATATGCGCTGTGTTAATTCAGTTGTACGAATATTATCTTTCCGTTTTGCAATACCTGTATGTATGCACATAATAATACGACAATACCAATGTACAAATAATACAGCGAAAATTGCGTCATGTAACTATTAAACTCTTCAGGACTGAGTGGTGGAATGGAATAAAACTCTGTGATTGTCCTTAAAAAAAAAAAAATACTTAATGTGGTATAAACGAATGTAGGGTAATATTTAATTAATCTAAATAAAATATACAAATAGAAAACATTATTGTATCATAATATAATATACATACTCATTAGAAACGGCCGTGTGAGCGCTATAATTTGGCGTTGTTGATGTGATGGAATTGAGCTGCAAAATAAATTTATTATCTTAAAATTTTTATTGGTTAGTAATTGTTGAAATTTTTCATGAATTACGTTAATTATATTGATCAAGATGTCAATATTCTGTTTTACTTGAATAATCGAAATTTGGCTTTTCCAATACAGAAATTGTTAAAAGTATTTAAGATTTTTTATAAAATTATTGAATAATATAGATTAAAATATTTCAAAATTACCGCTGTACTTTGTCTGATAAATGTATTTGTCATGTCACCAAAAAACATTGCCAAAATAGGCAAACTAGCTCCTGTTGCTAAAGACATGGTGAGACCCGCGATCATCAATAACACATCCCAAATATCTGAGTATCGAAACTAAAATAATATAATATTATGGTTGTATATTGTATTAATACACAAGCGACAAGCCTAACTCATTATTAATCAGTTATTTAATATTTTCAATAAAAGAATAGTATGACTTTGAAGTTATAGGAGTTACATATTTTACTTWATCTCCTCGAATTTACTAGACCAAACAAGAAATCCTTTCTATACAATGTCGAATTTACATAAGAATACTTAAAACGCATATTTTAAACTGCTGAGTGGTTTGAACATTTTATAAAAGGAGTATTTCTTAATTTTTTTTTTCATTCGTCCTTGAGCTTTGGCAACTACAGCCATTAGATTTTCATGTGAAGTTATGATTGATAGAGGAACACGGGTTCTTATGTATGGAAAAGGATTCGCCGCTAAGAACCCGGAAAATTTAATAWTWAAWAMRWWATACAGGGAGATTCTTTTAAGTGGGTACACTAATTATCTCGAAAAGTATTTACTTTTTTMAAAATATTTTTTTACATGGTTTCAAGTTGTTAAAAAACCAACGTTYTTWWTARAAAATTATATTTTTAAATATTTTTTATCCTTATCATTTTTTAAGTTTTTTACTTTTTTGTATGACAACATATAGTTTTGATTTCATATTCCAAAGCAAAATATTTTTCTAAGTATTTTGATTCATAAAAATCGAATTTAGGACGAGTAGTTTATGAGTTATATGTATTTAAAGTTTWGACAAGCGGAGTAGTGGACAAACATTTTGCGGGGTAATCCCGTACCACTCCACTATGCCAATCTAGACTTTAAATACTTATAACTCAAAAACTACTAGCCCTAAATTCAATTTTTATGAATCAAAATACTTAGAAAAATATCCTGTTTTGGAATATGAAATTAAAACTCTATGTTGTCATTCAAAAAAGTAAAACACTTAAAAAATGATAAGGATAAAAAATATTTAAAAATATAATTTTTTAATAAGAACGTTGGTTTTTTAACAACTTGAAACCATGTAAAAAAATATTTTGAAAAAAGTAAATACTTTTCGAGATAATTAGTGTACCCACTTAAAAGAATCACCCTGTATTTTTTTTTAAATATTAAATAATAATGTTTTTGTATGTACTAATTAATTTTTTGCATTTTTTTATTACTATATCACACCTAAAAGGCTATACATTTTGTAATTGGCTCTCAGAGTTTCTAACCTAATCTTTTATTGTAGACACTGCAGTTAAACGAATAAATATAATGGCATCATCATAGTATACATATGAATCAAATATTATGTACCTAATTTAACTTATTATAAAGTCAATTAGAATAAGAAAAACTCTTACATATCTCAACTAAATTAAATATGCCATATTTACATGTAAAATGTTTGTATAAAAAACGTAAATGTGTTATTATATAATATAATAAGTATTCGTTCTACATCGTTCCTGGTTAGAATATAGTAATAGGGTTATCCGATATCAAGATAATAAAAAGCTATCATCTGTATATGAATTTAGTCAAATGTTAGTTTTTTAATTAATTACTGTTAAAAACATATGCATGATGCACTTCTTCTTCTTTTTTTTTAATGCTAGAAACGTAGGTATATTTATCAACATAGCTGTCACTCACAATATAATATACATAGTAGGTACCTATAATATATGTTATTATTGCACGCCATGAAAGTTTAAAAAAATATTATTTTAGCAGCCGAGTATTAATTTATGTATATAATATATTATATTAAAATTATTTTTGTTCGACACCGATTGTCGAAACCCAATGTTTCTGAGACAGTAAAAATAATAATGTATTTTTATATTACGTAGTTTATTTACGTAACTCATTAGGACTGCGTTAAAAGTTGTAGGTAAGCTATGGCTGTACAGCGGTGGCGGCGCCAAAATTTAATACCAGGTGGGCCAGGAAATTTTTTAGGGAGGGCCAAATTGTTGACTTGTTATATATATATATATAAACAATAGTGATGACAGGCAATTGCGTTAGGGGGGGAGGGGGAAGGGGAGGGTCAACTTCCAATTTTTTAATTTTTTTTACACTTCATCGTGTTAACTTACTAAAACAATAATTTGTAAACATGTATTAATATTTAATAGTATTTATTTCCTTACAAAATATATTATATTCATGTAAACGTATATTCATCAGAAGTATATAAAAATAGAATGCTTTCCCTTGTATTTTCTTTATCATAGTTGGTTAATAATCTAGTCCTGTTGTTCATGGAATTTTCAACAAAATTATTAAAACATTGATTAATATTTAATAATAACTAGTAAATATAACTTATTATTTTCGTATTCAGCCGCTGGAAAATACACGTTATTTATGAGGCTTAGCATAGTGCATAGTTTTCAACCCATTCAAAATGTTGTTCACGCCACTATTATGACTTAATATTTTCATATTTTTATTTATTCATGAGATATTTTTTAGAATTCTAGTATGATTAAATTTAACTTTTGGGGTGGGCCACAGGGGGGGCCGAGACTTTTTAAAGTGGGCCCGGGCCAACCCTGGCCACTGCTGTACGATAACTAATTACTAACTCTCATCTAAGTTGCACAACTGGATAAAATCGTTTCATTATTCGCTATTCTAACTTAAATAATTCCAATACACACTCGACATTACTAAGCGTTTTTACTTTATAGTTGATATTTGAGTTTGCTTGTCACCCGAAATCGCATTTTAACATTTATGACATAGTTACTACCAAAAATGTGTATATATATATTATACCTTACTATCTACAACGGTTAATGAGAACCTAAAAATATCCCAGGCTATAACATGTCCCACATTTTAAATATCCCTTATTCATAATAATCCACATTTATATATCACATTATAAAATGTTTTTCTTTTTTAATAACAATAATCTAAACAAAACTAAACATATACAATATACATAATATATCTATCCGGGTTATTGAGAATTGGTACGGGAAAATAAATAACTTAACATGACTATAAAATTAATTAACAAGTTACTGTATACTATGGAAAAAATGGAACTTATTACAACTTTCTAAAAATAAAAAGTAAATCACTATATCTTAATTAAATGAAACTAAACTTTTTAACTCGGTAATGCCCTACAGCCTAGTAAATTAGTTTATAATATTATGTTAAATGAATTTGATCACTTTTCTTTAACGAAAAATGATATATCTAGCCTTAGTACCCTTATTAGTATGTTCATGCATTTTAACAATAATATATTTTAAACAAACGAAGGTATAATTTATTTGAAAACTTTATCTTTTAAAATTTGTATTCAGTAATTCAAGATTCTGTTCAACAACTTCTTTGTACAATGAGAATATATTTTTAAATAATACGTTTTTAACGTATGTATTTATGTTTGCTTGACAAATTTGATATTTAAACATATAAATACAGTTAATTTACCAAATAATAATTGTTATACTTTATAAATTATAATGCCTACACAATTATGTTATGATACGTTAAAGATAGTATTGATATTAATATGGATTTTAGTCAATCTGGTCCATAAAATATAAATGTGGGTAATTATATTAATTTTTGACAAATTATAAAAAAAAACTTGTCTCTCTTAACACTGTAATTTTGATTTAAGTACCTAGGACTTTATTTTTCCTATATTTTAAATGTTTTTTTTATGAAGACACTATTTATGCTAAATTGTAATTATATATTTTTACAGTTGATGTACGAGTAAATGTGTAATTATGGTATCATTTGGATCTGGATATTAGAATTGTACAACACAGTTGAATTATCAACTTTGAATAATACTTTGATAAGATTCTTCTTCTTCTTTCTTTCTGGGCTTTTACAGGCCTTTAAGGCCATCGACAAAATATTGTTTCCATTCTTTTCTATCTTTTGCACTTTCTTCTCCGTTTGTTACATTCAGGAGTTTCAAGTCTTCTTGTACTCTATCCACCCATCTTTGTCTGGGGCGTCCTCGAGACCTCTTAGTGTCGGGTTTCCATTTAGTTATTGACCCAATCATTCCCTCTGACATCCACACATGTACTATCCAACTTATCCTCGTGCTCTTCAGGGACCCTACAATGGTAGGTTTCTTGTATAGATCATCCAATTCCCCGTTGCCTCTTACCTCAAACTCTCCATTGTTATTTCTCTTTGGACCGAAGATTTTCCTTAATATCTTTCTTTCGAAAACTCCAAACTGTCCTTCGTCCGATTTTGTCGTGGTCCATGTACCACACACATACAGAGCAACCGGTTTGACTATGACTTTGTATAGCGTTATTTTAGACTTTATTGATAGTAGTTTTGATTTGAAGAGTGGCATTAAACTATATAGTAGCATCTATTTGCTGCTATAGTTCGTTTTTTAACTTCTTCGTKGCTATTAGCATTTTCATCGATCTCTACGCCCAGGTATTTGAAGCTCTATACCCTTTTAAATTTGTAATCATCAACTTTTAAATAGCTAATATTGTGATTTCCTCTCGACAATATCAAATACTTTGTTTTTGACTCATTTACTTTGATAAGATATTAATTTTAAAAAAGTTTTTAATTTCTAAGCAAATTATAATATTTTATTAGTAAAAACTAAAACTTTATACTAAAAGTTTAACTTTAACCTAAAGTATTAATCTGCAGTTTTAGATTTCTCAAGAATCCGTTACAAAATATTCATTCCCTTACTATAGTGCTAATAGGTTAGGTTAGACATGCGTATTAAAAGTGAATATTTATAATTTAGAGACATAATATTCCTCTAACGTTTTTCTCATACCAAATTTACACTAGTATAATTATTAGTAAAATGTTTACATATTGTGATAATTATTAATTATGCCTAAAGGTATAAAATATTTAAGAGACGACAACTTGTAACTCACAATGCGCAAGAGGCCGAATTTGACGTCGGACACGGATTTACATTCTGGTTTGACGGTGGACCTGAAAAAACACACAACAATGTTAACAATAATATTATGTAGATTGAACAGGATCGGCATATATAATAATAATATGATATATATAATGCTTATCGGGCTGTCTCATCTCTATGATATAATGTACTCTTACCTACCTATTATTCAGATTCAACGTCGAATTCGATAATCCCGAGTGGATCGATGAGCTTACAATGATTGATGGCAACTCAATCTCTTCAGCGAATTCATGTTTCTGAAACATATCAAGCATGTAACACATATATTATAATACTTCATCCATATATTCACATTAAATAATCGATCGTTTGTTTATTATAACCATCATTGTACACGCTTCACACGAAATTTTATGTTCGCAACAATTACTCGTTATTTGTTGAAGGAATAAATGCCTTTTTTATTTTTATTTTGACCTATCTATCTGAGTCAAAATTTTTTAAGCTTATTTATACTACGTGGAGAATATCATGTTTTCACGTTTTTGTAAAAGTAAATCAAACACAAATTACGAATAATGATAAAACAATACGTAGGTATCCCATATTTCCATCATGTAAATTTTCATATATGATATTAAATAATAATAGTTTTTGTATGATTAGATGCACTTTTAAAATCGAAAACATATTATTTCCTAGTAATTTAATGCAAGATRTGTCGGATACTCCGATCATTACTAGTCTTATGCCCAAATGCTTAAAGTACTTTAAAGTAATAATTTGTATAAATACTAGAAAATTAATTGCAAATCGTCATAATAATTTAGTAAATACAAATAATGATGACTGATTAGAAACGAGTAATACCTAATAACTGCACCTATCTATTCCTCTCCGTGTGTACAAACTAAAAAATCTTATTCGTAAACAAATTTAAAGCTAATTGAAATACAACCAAACTATTAATTAGAATAATATTTAGAATATATAAGTATAAAAAAATAAGTTATACTGACTGGAACAGATACCATAACTGATAAACGCGTCAAGTTAATGATATTCATATTGAATAAACAAAAAAAWAWATATATATAATCATAAATGGTATGTATTATGTATATCGGCTAATAACATCGTCAGTGTCATAGATAATTAAATATGTAAATTAAAAATAATGTATAATACCAATGGTATACGCGTCACCTACTATATTAGAGTATTAGACAGAGACTGGAAATATAAAAGTGGTGTGATTTTATTAAATTGCATAATATCGAAACATATATTTTTTTTAAAGAATAAAAATAATCGACCTCAGTATAATATTATTATAATAGCAAAATGTGATGTAGGTACCAGAGGTATTATTATATATATATATATATATATATATCAATTATTATATATTCTTCTTGGATATATCTATTCAAGCTTTAATAATATTATAGGTAATTTAAATTATTACTTATTATAAGTATATTGTATAAATTGTAAATAACATGTTTAATAATAAAAAATTAAAATTTTTTTTTACTTTTTATTTTAACACCATTGTTAATAGAGTACTAAAATACTTTTAGATATACCTATTTACGTATATTTACTTATAGTATTGTAATGTAATTATTATTTTTTATTCTCCTTTATTTATTCTTCTCATTCACGAATCTTTAATTTAACCTACWGTAGTGGTTTTTAATCAAATTTATTTACATATTTAATGTTTATTATTAAATTGTGTCTTAAATAACTCGAACTGAGTTTTACACCAACAATAATTTAATTTATAAGCCGCTGAAGTAGTTTCCCGAATGTCAATTAGTGGTCGTGGTCACTATATAGACTACCGTGCATATTTGCATATATTTTTCCGGTTGATCTTTTGTACGGTAAGTAAACATAAAATACTACTTACAACGTAGWTAATGAAAAACCAAAATTTTTAGCGCATGATTGGTAATGTTTGAAATTTACTAATTATAGAGCATATTTTCGATTACCTTCTTATTTGAATAGATCGTTGTTATAAGATCGAATACCTAGTGTCGTTAACATGTAAACTTGAATTGCTCTTTAAGTCACATCAATGATTCTAAAACATTTTAAATGTGTCTATAAACTAATTTTGAAAATTTAATATATCTAAAAAATTATATCTAATAATATACATTTTTTGTAACAGACTAGTCATTCATTTTTCAGAATTGATTTAACCAATATCCTGTTTTGTGTAAATATTATCGTTTTACCGTAATTAGTTTTTTTCCCCGCTTATTTTGACAAGTACTTTTGACCCAACCTATTCCCTAAATTATTCCCTAAGAATCAATTCGCTAACAGGCACTCGCACTATCCTTAATAATTAAAATAATAATGCTATTAAATGTTCGTACAGTTACATTATATTGTTATAGTAGAATTTTCAATTTATTTTCTTAGCATTAAGCAAAAAAAAGTACACTACCATTTAAAAGTAGAATTAAATTACTATTCTCAATTGTTCTTGTCAAGTATTATAATTACATAAACAGGTATTATTGACAAATACTTAAAATATAATCTGAGCCTCAAATTGTCAACACAGAATTGTATAACTGCAATGGCAAAATAATATATTTTAAATTTTTAACACTTACCAAACACAAAATATCGATTTATACTATTTTTTTAAAACTTAATTGAATGGCTGCTTTAGTTTATATAGAGGAGTGTTTTTAAATCAACAAATTCCTTTATTTAACCGGATATTGCTGCCTAGTTTCAATAGATACCTACTTTGTAACTTAAGAAAAATCCACTCTTCGTTCTTCAAAAGCAAATAAAACGTGGAAAATACTAAACTTCGTATAAATATTGTAGAAAGAACCTCGTGTCTGAAAAGACCTTTATGCATTACAATTGTAAACATCAATTATCAATAGTTATCTAAATAAGAGTAAACATAAAATTAATTTAAAAATATATTAGTGAAAATGTTTACCATTGGGTTCATTCTAATTTCCTCAGTTAAAATGATAGAAAATGTCTGCCTATCTACTTTATCTATGTAATATTAAGTCTTAAAAGTTAATCATAATTATTATTGAAAGTCTTTCTAAAACATTCAATATTCATTCTTTTAAATTCTAAAAACATGCATATTCTTTCTAATTTATTTTTAAAAATAATTTTATTAGAAAATTATAAACAGTTTAAATAAAAGTGACATGATAAAAGTTAATATAAATTACAACAAAGATATAAATATATACTCATATTAAAATAATAAAAACTACACAAAATAAAACAAGATGTATTCATATGACCACATCCCACATACCTTCCTAGAAAATTCGAAGTTATCCCAACTAAACTACGAATCGGGTACACAAAAATCATTCATAGTCATCCAATCAGAAAAAATGATCTCCCAGTAAGTCCAAATTGCGGCACCGATCTAACAATTAAACACATAACGACCAAATATCGAACCAAGATTGGCCTCAAACCTTCAAAAACACTTATCAGATTCACTCAGTCACAACAGATCCTTGCTCTCAACTAACTTCAAGTTCATTAAAAAGGAAGAAATTCCAAACAAAATATACCTAAATACTTTATAAATATGTTGATGTAAATAATAACCTTGTAACCCAATGGCCTGTCACCGAGGATAAATTTTGTCAATAAAAGAAAAATAATAATAAATAGTTGAATTATAATTGATATTACTCATAAAGTAATAATTAATAATAATAAAATAAGATTTTTTCCAGTATAGATAAATAATAACTTAATGTCAATGAGTACCTGTAACTTCAATATACAGTATCTATACATTTTTGGTTTCTAAAAATCAATAAAATAACTAATTATTTCGTAAATAAAAKCTTTCTCCAATAAAATAATAAAAATAACATCATTGAGAAAATAGTTTGAAAGTAATGATATTGTTTCCTATATATGAATGTTACCTGATGAACATAGTACTAAGTATATCGGAAGTTTTATACGGTATTTTCGAAATTGTTTTTTCGAAAACCATAATATTAATATATAATATTCTATTAATTAATTAATTTATACAATTTTTAAAGCTCTTTATAATATACTATTAATAGATATTCTGTGACTTTTGCTCATTCGATTGTTGGTACTACAATTAATTGATTTATATAATTGTATTTAAAATGAATTACCTATAGGTGTATAGTAATGAATTATCAAAACTGTCGTAAACTTTATCTGCCAAGGTATTGTCATTTGAAATAGAAACGAAGGTTAATCTATTCATAATTAAAGCCTTTTGAATCTTTTAAAAGAAATTCTATATTATATTAAAATATTTATTTCAAAGGATTGCTTCTAGCAAATTGTTGCCGTACCTGATGTATTTTATTGTTTTTGATTTTTCTATTGCATACGTTTTGATCCACTGTATAAGTTGCTGACGGCATGATGAGTATATAAATACATTTACACGGTACCTATAACTGATGAAAATCCTACGTGTACTCAAGAATGGACTTAAATAATCGATAAAATAAATATAGAACACAACAAACATGTGACGATAGTAAACATTTTTGTCTTAAACAAAAGTCGTGATGGTTGGTGAGTATATGTACATATGTGAATGCATTAAGATGCTCGTCATGGGAAATCGTAGAGAAGTGCTGAAGACATAATATAAAAATAGTTAAGATGTTATCTATTTGGTTGTTTGGGAGAGGGAAATAAAGTATCGCAAATAATATACTGTCGAGTACTTGAATAAAAAAAGTCACTCACGAGGGCATAGATCAATGAAATCGTTAGCATGATAATATTAATTATACATAATAATTTAGTTTATTTTTTGTGGCTTATGTAATTATTTATTAAAACCCAGTGAAGTCAGTTCAGTGTTTAATAGAGGAGGATTAAAGTTTTGAACAGAACATGATGATTAGGTGACAGAAAGAAAAAAACCAATCGCTTTGCTTGCAATCTAATTTCCACTTGCTTTTTTTTCATCTCATTGACCATCTTATATAATTGCAACATATTTATTATCTTAGACAAAAGTGGAATGCATTCAATTTTATTTACATGCCCACGCACCTATAAATTCGAATTTAAAGTTATGACTTATAAATATTAATTATTATTGTGGCTATAATTTCTTAGTACCTACGCAATATTAAATTCTCTGAAAATTATAAAAACAATTTTTCATGAGAAACTTGACCACGGAATGCTCTTTAAATTATAATACAGAGGCAACCTACTTTGTCCCTTTCGCTAATGATTATATATATATCTATTACATGCAATACTATAATGTTAAATTCAAACTTTTCATATTACTCCTATTATAGCCCTATAATGATCGTATAATATTATCCTCAATATTGATAACATAGTATTTAAATACATATTACAGTTCTTATAGAAATTGTAGGCCTAACTCTCAGTTTAAACTTCCCAAATAGTATTTTGATTCGTCAACCAATTCGATAAGTTAGCGAATTTCGCAAATCAATAATATCCTCCGACTAATGCAATGTAAACTGTTTTGAATTTAAATTAATTTGGTTCCGCAGTAATATCATTCAATATGATACAGTAATTTAAATTATCTCTTAGTCTCTTACCATAATTTTGTCGAGCGTAATACACTAATACTACATTAAACWTTATTCTTGTACGAGGTTTGTTCTGTTCGGTCTCACCCAAATTCTATGCATGGATTGCACTTTTAGACGAACGTTAAATATATCTACTATACTTAATGATAATGTACTACTTAAACAAAAACAACCTACAAACAAACAATTTGACAAATCTATATTTCCTTAAATATTACGTTTGAATTGAATGAAACACTTAAACCTAAGCTAAACATTATTTTTCAAAATAATCTACTCATCGTAATTCCATCTTTTAATATAATTTTACAGGCGTGATTAGATATTTTTAAATTATTGGCGCTTATATAGAGCTTCAATTAATTCCGACCAAGATAGTTTTTAAAATAAAATAATATTATTAATCATCTTAAATAAAATAATTACAACATTTAAATAYTATGTACCTATATAGTAGTCTAGCATCGTTACAATAATGTAGTCGAAAGTGTACAAGTTACATCCAGATTTTTTTCTAAATTGCCTATTAATTTTTTTATATAATATAGACGGTAACCTTCAATCTCAAAAATATATAAGGAATAATGATAAGTAACTCAAGTTTATACAATATACATACACTCATCATTCATGAGTCATAATATATTATAAATTAATTATAATCATTATTTCACCTCATAAAATACCACTATAAGTATTACAATGGTTAAAATGATAATTTTTTAGTTTTTAATCAGTTTTTTATAAACATACCAATTGATAAAATTTGTTTTAATTTATTCATAAATTTAACATAGCATTTATTATTCGACACGTCGCGAATTGGACATCAGACACGTACGGAAGCAACTTATAATATCAGTATGCGCCATTAACTACTTTTCCGAATTCACTCAAAAGTTTTACCCCGTTTCACTCTAGCTGTTTCAATGGCATAAGACAATTTACGAATAATTATGATCATATAACCACCCTTTGGATAACATTTATATCAAAAATTATGCATACATTTAAAACTACATATGGTTTTAATTTTATTATTTTGCTTTTATACCTTGCCTATATAGACCTGTTCTATTTTGTTCTCATTACAATAATGTTTTTAATCTTTAGTATGTACTATTGTATTGTAGATCAATACAATAGATAGGGTTTCACTATTTTTACATAATGAAACAAATTAAAATGTGTAAAGCTAGACAGAGTGTATAGAAATTCGTGGTTTTAGTCATTCGAATCACTAATTGTTCACTTATGAGTGGAATAGTATAATAATTAATAATTATAGTTAGCCGTCATCCAAATGTCGATTCAAATAAAGTAATTTCGATCTCTTTCGAATAATATATGCTATAATATTTCTTCAAAAACGTTAAATTATAATTCATTGGCAATGGAATTTGTAATAGAATTTGGTTTTGATCTAGATAAAATATTAAGAAGTTTACGAAAGAATATTATAATATTATATCCTTCAGAATTACCATAATCTAGATAAAGACTTTGACCTAAAAAGTGATAAATTAAACTTTTTAGCAGCATTTCTTCGTCAAAGAAATTAATAAAAAGTGAATAAGTACCTAATAATTTATGGGATATTGCTATTGAAAATATGTTTATTTTTAATATTTTCTGTTAAAACATTTATGATTACTTATGATTTAAAATCCTAATCATTATGGTAAAATGATACCTACATGGTATATAGGTATTTAATATATATATATACATATATATATATTTAATGAGAACATAATACTTATAACTACTGCATCGCTTATAAGTAATTATTTTTAAGTCGAAATGATAGGATAAACAGTGTGTTTGATTTTAATGTTTGAAATAAATTATATATATTMATAATCACGCTCAAAATGATTTTAATTTTTTTAAATCTTAGCCCCTCTCTGAAAACTTAACTCACCTATGGTAACCAGATCATTTTCTTAGTGACTAGTGATATAATAACAATTATGCATAAATTAAAAAATCATGATTTCTCTTTTATATGGTTCATTCATATAACAATGACCGCACTGCATCGTAGATAGGCTACCAAATGTACATTAGTGTCGTCTATTTGTTTTTCCAATAAATAATATTGAAATATTTTTAGATTCTGAATTGATCGATAAATGTATTGATTTTACTATGAAGAACGAGTACACAATTTATGATAGAAAAAATGCTTTGAATTTCAAGTTCAATATGTTTTGTGCTGGGAAAATTTATTTGGTTGATACTTTTCAAAATTAAAAATAYGTCTTTGTAATTTTCTTAACATTTCAAAAGTATATTAAGTAAATGTTTACTTTTGAAATGTAAAACCAACTACTCTTGAAGTTAAGGATCAAACCATTTTTTTCTTCTATAAAACGTATATAAATATATACCTACATTTTAAAATCAATACATAATCCATCGATTAACCCAGAATCTAAAATCAAATGTAATTACAATTATTCTCAAAATAATTGTTGAATGGTGTAATCAAATTGAACGGTAAATATCCAATAATAATTTACCACTGTCATCATGACTCACGAGAGATTTTTTTTATGTTTTAATGTTTAATACATCATCCCTTTTCTGAGAATTTGCATTTTTCTCTAATTTATCTGTTATCATATTACTTCATTGTATTTGTATTATTTTTAATGAATTATTTAAATACAATAWGTGATTATAATTTAATTATGGAATATATTGTCAACCTAAAATAATTTATTGAAATAAAAATACTTCATCAATGTAGATAAATTATAAACGACGTAGATACCTATATTATATAGAATTAATATCGTTTAATAGCTGCAGTAGGAATTAAAAATATATTACAAAAATCCCTACCTAAGTAGATATATAACTTAATGAACTTAATGTACCTATTATGTATGATAATTTAAAATTTTTGATTTGGGTACAAAGTTGACATTTTCCACTATATAGTGCTTGGTTTCTATTTAAACAGATGTCTTTAATTATTTAATAATTATTAATATATATTTTAGAATCCAAGCAGAAGTAATGATTTTTTAATGTTCATGATTTTTTCTCTTTGAACCATTTTTTGACCAGAAACTTGATTCTATCAGTACCTATATATTGTATTCATTTGCCAATAGACAATTTGATTGAATTTGTACTTTTAAAACGCTATATTTTAATTCTAGAAAATATTTTGACATACGTAAGAAAAAACTGATGAAAAATTAAACGGTAAAATCACGATATTGGATGATTTAATTTTCGTTATTTCTTTATGTAATTTTGAAAATAAATGATTTTTTACTTCCGACATGTACAATATTAAATCCAATAATTAACTTCATAATTTAGTACAAAATATATTGACCTATATAATGTGCATGATTAAGATATCCTTTTACGAAATATAAAAATAATATGTATAATTATTTAATTAAATGTTAAAAAGAGTATTCTTGACTTTCGAGTATAATAAACTACCATAAAATATAATGATGCTTGTATTAAAAAAGTAATTTAACCGAGTTGTTAAAATAAGTATAGTATAGGTAAATATAAGTTCATAGTTTTAGTTTTTACCTAGTTTAATTGTATAATATATAAACATTAAACATATATATATATTTATTTAATATAATTTCCTAGAATTTAGCAGGCGCGGATCCAGAATAGATTTACAGGGGGAGCCATCTTGGATACAATTTTAGCCAATATGCAAAGCAATGTATTTTATCAGCTTACCGAAAACAGACATTCTAGAATTCGTCAGAGTCTAGGGGGGGCATCGACCCTTGCCCCCCCCCCCTTCGATCCACGCTAGGGGTTTAGGGACTATATTAGTAAATAATTAATACGCAATATCTGTTTAAAAATTGTAATTGATTTGCTACCCTTTATGGAGTAATTGATCAAAATTATGTATAAGATTGTATTTGATTCTTGAAAAACTGCGTTAATAAACTGTTCAATAATATTTTTAAATCCTGAGGTTTCTAATTAGATTATAATAACCATAAGACTTTTAATTCAAATATTTAAAC